TGAAATAGGATTAATTGGATTTGTCAAAGGTCAATTAGGCCCAACTTAAAGTGACGCTAGAGAACTTGTGCAGGGCGACTAAGGATTTTGTTGAAGTAGGTTAGATTGGCACTATCAAACCATAGTTGGGTCAAGTGGAACATAATAGAGCCATCTTGGGCCAATTAAACAAGTCAAATTTATCTTGGATCAACAGCTAAAGCAGCTGAGGATCAGACATTGGGGAGAGGATGCAGAGGCAGTGGGCCATCAAAGGCTTTTATGATCAATTGGAAACATTCTGAGGGCAATTAAAGTAAGGCCAAGTCATCAAGTCTCTAATCAATTGCTTGGGTTAGGTTATTGGGCCATGTTGAATCACTCAAGACCAACACATTGGTCTATCTTGAGAATAAATTAGTAGGATAAAGCCACAAATCTATTAGATCTAAAAGAATTCAATTAGGTCTAGCCATGAGATAATTTAGCATATCCTCGGTAAACAATACCACAACAACAACAAAGCCTTAATCCCACTACGTGGGGTTGGCTACATGAATCCTTTTTCTCCATTGCGTCCTATTAACAATACCAAAGCGTTAAATTAGTTTAGCTCAAGAGAGTCCCTTCGTAGTTGGGGCGATCTGGTATGTGTAAACTTATGTGCCTAAATCCATTGCAATAATTGGACTGTCTAGAGTCAACTGAGCTCGCAAGTAATCTGAGTTAAATTGGGACAATATAGACCATCTCAAGTCAATTGATTGCACGTTAAGGACGTGGAGTCAACTATAGTTGAATTGGATCACTTAGGATTGCTCAAGTCAGAAAAATACCAAATAATATAACTAGGAGCAATTAGGCCAGTAATGGTTAATACTAGATTGGTCAAAACTTGTTTAGGATCATTAAGAAGACTTCTTCAAGTTGACTAGGACCATCTAGAAAACCACTTAACAATCACTTAAGAAAATTTGTGACAAAGAAAGACAAACTTGCACCTCATTAGTTGGCTTACGTGTCAATTGTGCTATGTTGACACAGATAAAACGTTTATGGTCTAGGGTGGCATGGGCTTTAAGTACAAGCTTATAGAATCATCTGAGACAAAAATAAGCAAAGTTTAACCTCATTAGCTAAATTTAACTTGTTAGGTTAGTTGGACAAGTTGGACCCAGAGATAGGCTTCATAATCTAAGGTTTGGCAAAAAGAGCTCAAGTATAGGCTTGTAGGGTCAGGTAGGAATAAAGAAGGGAAAAACTGCACCTAATTAGTTAAATGTGACTTATCAGGTTAATAAGGCCAAGTCAAGGGCATCAAAGTTTAGGGTTGGAAAGTATAAGTTCTAGGCATAGGCTTACAAAATTAGTCATGGACTTGGTGGCCAATGTTTTTAAAGTTAATTGGAACCATTCTAAAGTCAGTCAAGTTAAGCTCAACCCATATGATATCTTTTCATTAGCATAGGGCTGTTTTAGGATGATTGGAACCACATCAGATCAATCGGGGGCACACTAGTTTAGCTTGAGATCACAACAAAACAGTAATGAGTGTCTATTAATCTTAAGACTATCCATGAGCCAATTTATCGTATTGAGTGTTAATAAAGCCAAAGGGCAATATGAATTAGCTCAAGTGGGTGTATATGTTTGGCTTAATATGTCTATGTTGATTGATCTGTTCTCTTTGTTGTAACAATTGGAATAACAAAAAAGTCAATGGAGATGAGAGTCTATTAATTCATATTTGCCAGCTCAGATCATCTCAAGTCGATTGGAGGCACTTCGAGCCTTCCAAATAGCTAGAGTTGAATCAGATCAACTAGGATTCCTAAGTCAACCAAAAATTATAAAAATTAACTAGGAGACAAATGGGGCATCAAAGGCAATGCTAAGTTAGTTGGAGCTTGTTCAAAATGCTTGAGATTGCCTTAGGCTAATTAAAGCCATGTTGAGTACTGTCAAGGCTACTTTGAGCAACTTAATGACTACTATGGATCATCTAGGACAAAGAAGAGTAATGTTCTAACTAAAGTAGGTCTTAAAATTTGTTGGGTCACTTGGGCTTAGATCTTAGATTTTAGAGATTGAGGTAAGTTAACATGCACTTATGCATATGCTTGTAGGGCTATTTGGGATAAAGAAAATAACATGTACTTCATTAGTTGGCCTTGACATGTTAGACTCATATTAAGGATTTTAAAGTCTCAGGTAAGCAACATGAGCTCTATTTTGGTTTTGTATGGTCATACGGGATAAAAAAGAGTAAAAATGAACTTTGTTAGTTAGTCTTGACCGTTAGGGTTAATTGGGCCATACCAAGGGCTTTAAAGTCAAGGGATAGGTAATATGGTCTCAAAATATAAAAATTATAGGGTTAGTCTTGGGAGAGATGGGTTGTCATCTAAGGCCTTTCAGATCAGCTGGAACTATTCCAATGACAATATAGTTGGGCCAAATCAATTGATGCTTACTCATTCAATTAGGGTCATCTCAAGTTGATAATTGCCAAATAAACTCAATCAAGGACACACTAGCTTAGCCGAACAGCTCAACAAATTACTTAGACTATAGCCACAAGGCAATTAGAACACAAGAAATTCAATTAGGTAAGACCATGATACAATTTAACTTAAGAGTTAAAAGGACAAGGAGCTAAACAAGCTTGCATTAAGATCAATACAATTACAATGATCATATTATTGTATTATATTTTAATTCTACTTATAAAAAATATGCAATAGGTGTTTAAAAAATATTTTTTAAAAAAAATTTAATTCACTTTAAGACAATCGTGTGACACGTGTGTCCCTTTTTTATTTTAATACAAATCACACATATCAAGGACGTGTCCAACACATGTACGGGGAGTGCTGGCAAGTGTCGATGTCTGAGAAATGCCTGACACTACATGACACCTTAGTTAGAAGCGCTTATGCATCATAGCCAATTGTGCTAACAAAGAGAGCGGTTGGGCATTCCAAAGCCCATGATGAGTTGGCTGGAGTTTTTCTAAGATGCTTGAGATAGCCACAAGCTGTTTGAGGCCATGCAAAGTCTCAAGGCACTTTCAACCAACTAAGGATTAGTTTAGGTGATTTGTGATAAAGATAGATAGCTTTTAACTCAATCGTTGGCCTTTACCACTTGGGCCCATATAAAAAACTTAAGAATCTAAGGTTGGACAATATAAACTTAGAGGGTTAGCACCCCTCCGCCTCTTTCCCTTTCCCTAGTTAGACCTTTTAGAGTAAAAAAAGGGGCCTATTAGTCTCCTATAAGGATGGACTTTATACTTTCTTTTCACATTCATACTATAAATGAACTTTCCTTATGAACTCGTAATATTTCATTTGGTGCTGTCACTAGAATAAAATAGCCACCTTTATAATTATGATTAAAGAAGAAAGATATTATCAAACACTAAATCTCGAAATATAAATAGTCATGTTTCTAGTAGGAGATCCCAAGTCCATATAATATAACTTCCAATGTATGGAAATAACATAATATACGTGAAAAGATTTTTAGAAGTTTGCAAAGAATTCACCAAAATAGTTATTATAAGAAAAGAAATTTTATTTGTGTTCCACTCTGCACATAATAAAATACTGATATACAATCACAATATTTAATAGTAATATCACTATTATAACAAGGGCTGTAAACGAGCCGAGCTTGGGCGAGCTCAGGCTTGGCTCGTGTTCGGCTCGTTCGAAATA